GACCCCCATCACAGCCCAACAACCCCCATTAGGGCCCAATGACCCCCCCTACAGCCCAACAACCCCCATTAGGGCCCAACGATCCTCATTACAGCCCAACAACCCCCATTAGGACCCAACAGCCGCCATCACAGTCCAACAGCCCCCCAACACAGCCCAACAGCCCCCATCACAGCCCAACAACCCCCATTAGGGCCCAACAATCCCCATTAGGGCCCAACGATCCTCATTACAGTCCAACAGCCACCATCACAGCCCAACAAGCCCCATCAGAGCCCAATGACCCCCATCACAGCCCAACAACCCCTATCAGGACCCAACGACACCCATCACAGCCCAACAACCCCCATCAGGGCCCAATGACCCCCATCGCAGCCCAACAACTGCCACTGCAGCCCAACAGCCAGCGCTCCAGCCCAACAACCTCCATTACAGCCCAACCAACCCCCATCAGAGCCCAGCAGCCCCCATGACAACCCAAAAGCCCCCATCACAACCCAGCAGCCACCATCACAGCCCAACAACACTCCATCACAGCCCAGCAAACCCCCATTAGGGCCCAACAACTGCCGCTCCAGCCCAACGACCTCCATCACAGCCCAACGGCCCCCATGGCAGCCCAACAACCACCGCTACTGCCCGAAGGGTGACGCCGTGGGGTCGAAGCCCTTGAAGACATCTTTGAGTGACGCAGTGCTGTCCGTCTCATCCTGCTCTGTGCCCTCCGGGGCCGCGCTGCTCCCACTGTTCCCAGCCGTGCCCCTTGGCCGTGGTCTGTTGTAGCTGTTGTAGCGATCCTGCGCCGGTTCCGCCAGCGGCGATCGGCGGCTGTAGGGCTGATCCTTCCCACGTCCCCCCACGCCGTCCCCAGCCGGCGGCGCCCGCGGGTCGTACAGACTGATGGCGCTCAGCACGCGGCTCTGCGCCGCGCCACGGCTCAGCCGCGGGTCGTAGGGTGCCAAGGGGGTCCCAGCGTCACCCGCAGCATCGCCCGCATCGTCACCCGACTCACCGAGCTCCGGGGCTTTGGCTGCAGCTTTCTGCAGCCGGGGGTCCGACGGGGGTTTGCGCACACGGGGGTCGCTGGGACGCTCGGTGCCGCCCGGTTTATCGGCAGGTTTGTCGCCAGCGCCCGCGGGTTTGTCAGCGGGAGCGGGGAACGCGTCGCCCGGCCCGGTGGTTTTGTCACCCGGTTGTTTGTCACCTGTGGCGTCGCCTGTTCTGTCACCGCCGCCCGCGCTCACCGTCTGTAGGATGCGGGATAACAGCTCGAAATCCGGCAGCTTGGAGGAAGGTTCTGTGGTGACGCCGGGATCGGTCGGGAGCGCGCGGTGCCGGGGGTCGGCGCGGTGCAGCCTGGGGTCCCCGCCGGGCGTTACAGTGACGTCCTGCACGGGGATGGGCAGAGGGAGGAGATCCTCGGGGCTCCACAGCACCATGCGGGCGAAGGCGGGCTTGGTGAGGGCGACGTCCCGCGGCACGGGGACAAAACGGTGCCGGTGACAGCGGGGGTCCCGAGGCGGCTGCCCCGGCGGCGGCTCCAGGGGGATGACAACGGGGCGGTCCCGTAGGGAACGTTCGGGATCGGCGTCGTCCTCCTCGTCGGGGAGGCGGGATTTGGGGAGGGGGTCCGTTTTGGGGTGAGAAGGGTCCGTTTTGGGGTTGTGGGGATCCATTTTGGGATAATCCGCCTCCATTTTGGGATAATCCGTCTCCGTTTTGGGATAATTAGGGTCCGTTTTGGGATAATCCTCCGTTTTGGGGTGAGGCGGCTCCGTTTTGTTGTGCCGTGCCAAGCGGGGGTCCCGCAGCCGGGGGTCTGCCGGCCGCCCCCCACCCCCTGACGCCGCTGCTTTCTGCAACCGGGGGTCCGCGGTGTGGGGCGGCCCCATAGAACCGGGGGGTGGCCCCATAGAGGGGTGGGGGGGCCCCAAAGCGCCGCTCTGCTGCCTGAGGGTGCGCAGGATGGACGAGACGCTGCCACCCTCGTCCTCATCGCTGGAGTACCACAGGGCAGCGTCACCTATGGGGGGTCGTTAGGGTGGTGTTAATGAGGAGGGGGGGGGGGGTTCAAATGTCACCAAATGAACCCCAGCATTTGGTGCCTCCCCTGACCATCCATCCCAAAGAGCTCTGATTTCACCAAACGAAGCCCCAAGTGCTCAAATGTCTCCAAACCCACCCCAAAATCCAGTGCCCCCCCCATACGATCCTACCCCAAATCCACCACCATTACTCCAACGTCCCCAAACCCACCTCAAAATGCAGCGCTCTCCCAATTAGTCCCCTAACTCCCCCCCCAAATGGCTCAAATTTCCCCCCAACTAAACCCAAAATCCACTGCCTTCTTCCTTAAACTCCCCA